GATATTCTGTGACAGTTTGCACACTATGTCTTATTTCTTTGATAGCAGCATGTAATAATAATAATAATAATAATAATAATAATAATAATGTTGGAAGGGACTTTGGAGGTCATCAAGTCTGCTCAAGCAGAAAACCCAACAACATTTTGGACAGATGTCTGTCCAGTCTCGTTGTTCCATTGGTTAATTGTTCTAACTGTCGGGAAGTTTCTCCTTAGTTCTAGGTTGCTTCTCTCCTTGATTAGTTTCCATCCGTTGCTTCTTGTCCTGCCCTCAGGCGCTTTGGAGAATAGCTTGACTCTCTCTCCTTTGTGGCAGCCCCTGAGATATTGGAACACTACTAGCATGTCCCCCTTGTCCTTCTCTTTGTTAAACTAGACATACCCAATTACAGCAACCATTCCTTATATGTTTTAGCCTCCAGTCCCCTAATCACCTTTGTTGCTCTTCTCTGTACTCTTTCTAGAGTCTCAACATATTTTTTACATCATGGTGACCAAAACTGGATGCAGTATTCCAAATGTGGCCTTACCAAGGCATTGTAAAGTGGTATTAATACTTCATGTGATCTTAATTCTATCCCTCTGTTAATGCTGTTTAGCACTGTGTTGGCTTTTTTGGCAGCTGCAGCACTGCTGTCTCATATTTAAGTGATTGTCCACTAGGATTCCGAGATCCCTCTCACATTTACTACTATTGGGCAAGGTACCCCCTATACTATACCTGTACATTTGGTTTTTCTTGCCTAAATGTAGAACCTTACTTTTTTCACCATTGAATTTCATTTTGTTAGATAGCTCCCAGTGTTCAAATCTGTCCAGGTCCTCCTGTATCTTAAGCCCGTCTTCTGGAGTGTTGGCTATCCCTGCCAGCTTGGTGTCATCCGCAAATTCGATGAGTTCCCCATCTATCCCCTTCATTCATGAAGATGTTGAAAAGCACTGGGCCTAGAACAGAACCCTGGGGCATCCTACTACACACTTCCCTCCATGTAGATGCAGTTCCATTGAGAATCACATGCTGAGTATGGCTGGTCAGCCAGCTACGAATCCATCTGGTGGTGATGCTGTCTAACCCACTTTTTTCTATCTTATCGAGTAGTAGTATTGTGATCTACTTTATCAAATGCCCTACTGAAATCCAAGTAAATTATATCCACAGCATTCCTCTGATCCACTAATTTTGTCACTTGATCAAAGAATGCAATAAGATTTGTCTGTCATGATCTGTTTTTGACAAACCCATGTTGGCTTTTAGTAGTGATAGACTATATCACTCTCCAGATTTGCTGGCATACTTTGGTTACAATCTTTCATATTCTTCTGATGTCTATATAGTTCTACAGATTATCATCAACTCCTGTAACATTCTCATTTGATAATGACCAGAATGCTGATCTAAGTTCATCTTCTTGAAAATAGAAAATATCTCCTAAGATGCCTGGATGTTAACATCCTCGTTGTATAGAATTTCAGTATTCTCCTTCATCTCTGATCTTCTTTGAATCAATTGCTGCTTGTCCCCTGGCATCCTAAAACATAGCAATTTGAAGTTGGAAAGTTTCTGTGTTCTGGTGATTTGGACTAATTTCCTTGTTTCTCCATGTCTGTTGCCATATTTGATATTTTTACAGATGTCATTGCAGTACTGCATCATGTCTCTTCTAATATGGTTGCAGTCTGAAATTCTTCATTTAATTCTTTCCTGAGATCTTTGTTTTTCTTGATTTTAACTTCTTTTATGCTTTGACAAGTTCCCTTGTACTTAGTTTATAGTTTATAGACAAGTTCTGTTATGACATACAGTTTCTTTCTTTTGTTTCTTCATCTTTTGCAGTCTCTTTTCATATTAATTCTTAATTATTTCTAGGATTTCATTCCACAATTCCTTCTATTAATGAAAATCAGAACTCCAAAGCAATTCCTGATATTTTCTTCAAAAATGGTGACTGTATGTTCAAGATTAAATTGTGGAAACAAGCTCTCTTCATTTTCTGTCATAACTTGCTTGAAAATTTTTCATGAGCTGTTTGTGAATTCTACAATTAGTCTCTGATAAATCTTCATTGTTATAATTGAGTTCTCCAATTCTCTTGACCAATATATAGTCAAATTAATTTTTGTGTATTCTATATGGTGATGGCCATGTATATACAATAGGTATTATTTTGATTGTTGAACAATGCATTAGTAACTCTTTTATATTATATCCAAAATAAATACCTTGATTTATATATTATTACAGAAGTTGACATAACTTGTATTCCTGCACTGGCTTTCTGTCCTAGCAATTTTGTGTTAAGTACCAGGTACCAAGTTGCATAGTAAACCCTTAAGCTAAAATATTATTCAGCATAAAAAATAGGATGACATTTTAACGTGGAAAGCAATTTCGGATATGGGTTCATTGATTCAGAAAATTGGCTTAATACAAGTTATCAATATATTTTCTGGTGTCTTATACTTTGCTATTGTTTCCTTTTGTTTTCTGCCATAAGTTTATACAAAGTTTAATAATCACAAACAGCATTAAAATTGCATTACTAATGAAGCAACAGTGCAATATTATTCTAATCTATCCAATTCTATCGTTGAAGCTTCAGAAGAGCTTAGTGAAGTGCTGAAGAAAATAAGTTCACATATTCAAAGTAACATTTCAATTAAAATTAAACTGGTAAGCAATGCTATATTGAAATGTCCACATGTAAATACATGCATGATTGTACTCAGAAGAGGTTTTATAAATCATATTCTATAAACTAAGTACATCAATGACATCATCCTTCCTAGAAGTACAGTACTGATGTGATATTGTAATTAAAGAGAACAATTTTAAAATTAATCATTGATTTAAAAAGTATAAAGTAAACAATATAAATAACACTGCATTTGTCTTCAGTAAACGGAAAAAATAATCTCTGCCTTTGCGTGGGGGGGGGGTTGCAAGCACTTTAATTGAGTCTCCCCACTCCCATCTGTGGTATTTTCCTCGAGCTTGCTAGGAGCTGCGCTTAAACTCGGAATCGCCCGGCTGCAAGCGAAGAGAAGGGAGTTGGCGCAGGCAAGAAAGCCAGCAAGCCAGCCTGCCAGCCCGAATTGCAAGCTTCCCTTCGCCTTTTTCGTCGTGAATTGGGAGCAAGTCAACTTTGGGATTTCCCCTCCTCCCGCCTTTAAACGGCTTCCTTTTATTCTGCCTCCCGCCTGGTCGGGATCCGAAGGCGAAGCTCCGATTGGGGAAGTGTATACTCTACTGCCAGAAATTGTTAGGAAAAAGGAAATGCATTGAGAGAGGGACTTGTCAGAAAACATTTAGATGAGAATCAAGTACGCTCAGTGGAAGGTGAAAATGTTGGAAAGAGGGAATGAAATAGCTGGAATCTGGGACAGCTGTAAAGTTGTATCCTTCTGTTTTGGGAAACTTCCATGAAAAAGTAGTCACATAACCCCTCGCTTCATCCACAAAATGTTACAGGGGTTCTGATTTTTTATTTATAACCCTTTTCCTTTCTTCCATTATCTTGCTACTTTTCCTTCAATTGATCAAAATGTGGCTGCTTGGCAACTGGATTGTATTTATGAAGGTTGCAGTGTCCCACGGTCATGTGATTATTTTTAGCAATATTTTGACAAGCAAAGTCAATGGGGAAGCCAGATTCATTTAACAACTGTTTTCCTAACTTAATAACTGCAGTGATTCACTTAACAACTGCAGCAAGAAAGGTCGTAAAATGGGTGTGACTCACTTAACAACTGTCTTGCTTAGCAACAGAAATGTTGGGCTCAGTTGTGGTCATAAGTTGAAGACTACCTGTAGTTGTGGAATTCCTTTTGTTGGATGGTTCTATCTTCTAGAGTCTACTCTAGAGTCTGATCCTGCATATCAGATATTTACATTACAATTCATAATAGTAGCAAAATTACAGTTATGAAGTAGCAACGAAAATAATTTTATGGTTGGGGGTCACCACAAAATGAAAAACTGTATTAAAGGATCACGGCATTAGGAAGGTTGAGAACCACTGGTCTAGACAATATAATCATCTGCTAGATTCATGAGCAGCTTGTTGAAATAATTCATCAAAGAGAATCTCAGGCAATCAGCACAATCATTTTATAGATATTTTGAAGGCAAAGACAAACATATCAACAAGTTCAATATTTTTTCCTAACTTATTTCAGTTTTGCATATTTAAGTGTGCTATCACATATAGCTGTATCAAAAGGAGACTAAATACTATGAAATTATTACAATACTGATTCTAAGTCTGTACTAATGAAGGATAGCATTTCAAGATGAAATAATTATGCATACAGGTAAGGAAACTCTACCAATATGAATGGAACAAAAGTCAGCTAGGAATCCTTGGAACAAAGAAGGCTCTTGCAAGTTAATCTAATGCAATAGAAAGCAGAAATTGAAAACAAATTTGTCTTCAACAACTATTACTGAAATTATTGTCTACAGCATGGGAGACTGGAGTTTATAATAAATATGGCAAGTATTTTGTGAATAGCTGTTTTCTTTTATCTACCTGAATTTTACCATTCAGCTTTTGTTGTTTCATATTCTCAAAGAAAAATGTACTAATCACTATCTCTGTGTACCATGTGTCATCTATCTTATGAATCTCTGCTACAATGTATAGTCAAATCCACTCATAGTTCAGTCTCTGGACCAGTATCTTTCTGCAAAATTAAATTCACCAGTTTCTGTTTTTTGGGGGGGGAAAAAACCCTAAGGTAACAGTTGGTGTATGCTTTCTTTTGTTCCTTGAAGAAAAGTGGAAAGTAAGAAAAACCAAATGTACAGATCTAGTATAGGTGGTACCTTGCTCAATATTAGCAACTGTGAGAGATTTTTTTTAAAGTTTTCCTCCTACTGGAATAATATAATATAACAGGAATTCACTGAACACACCTTTGGGAAGATAAAAGATATTCACCTACCCTTATAACTTTTAATCTAGTACAATTACTTTATCTTTTTAATGTCCTCCTCAGGCAGCCAAGGCCAGTTTCCACTCACACAGAATGTTACAGTTATTGAAGGTGAAACAGCAACATTGACCTGTAGAGTTGATCAAAATGATAACACCTCCCTCCAGTGGTCAAATCCAGCTCAACAAACTTTGTACTTTGATGACAAGAAAGGTGAATATATATATATATATATATATTGTTTTCAGTTGATTAATTAATTTAATAATAATAATAATAATAATAATGTTATTGTTAAATAATGTTTGGACACTATATTCTATTTTACATTATCCTCAGACTAAAAATGTGTAATTTGAACATGATTGAGTATAAAATTATAGAATGTTAATATTAAATTGAATTTTTTAATTGTTTCATTTTTTCTCTAATTTTACTGCTGACTAAAAATGTGATTGTGATTTGATATAATATAAAATAATGTAATCAGTGCCTACTATGCAGCTCTAAAGAGTACAAAAAAAAAAAGAAATTTCATGCCTTGAGTTTACATCTTGTATCTGATCTGAGAAGAGAGCAAAAGAATGGGAAAGAATGAAAGAACAGAGATGAAGAATAGGGGAAGGGGAGGGGAGGATGAAGGGGGAGGGGGAAGAGGAGGAAGAGATGGTGATGGATGCATGTGTGATATAGCAAGAGTATATTTCCTCTCACATACACAATATTTTGGGAGAAGGAGGAATAGGAGCAGGAGGAGATGTGTGATATAGAAAGTGATATATTCTCTCTCACATACTCATTATTTTCCATAAAGGAATACCATCCCTGGCATATAGATGTTTGATACCAGTAAGTTTAGTAATGTTCATTCTCCTAACCAACACAATATTCTCTCCAAATATATGTATGCATTTCTTTATTTAAACCTATTCATTTTAATAATCTAAATGTAGTTCATATGTTATGATGTCTGCCTTCTGGAACAGTTTCCCAGCCCCATCTTTGCTATCCTTTCCACAGGGCTTGAAGACCTGTTTTTTTTTTTTTTTTCCCACCAGGTCCTAGGATATCTTGGGTTACATTTTCTCCTGAATTGTGTTCTGTCAAGATGGTTTATAATACACCTTATACTAGAGAGGCTTTTTTTTTAATGTACCCGCACAAAGTTATTATTGAGTTAAGCAGCCTTAGAAATGTAATAAGTAAATTCTATTCAATTCTAAATAAAAACCTTATATCTTCATAGAATTGCATGTTTCCTAATTGCAAAATTCTAATTACAATTTATTGAATTAATTAATTACATTGACTATGGCCACCCAGTCCAATAGACTATGGGTCTATTTTGTAATAACAAAATTCACAATTAAAACAAAATAAAAAAAATGAAATAACATGCAGCAGCCTGGACTAAAATAGCAATAACAATAAAAACATAACAGGCATTTCACAACATATGAACAGAGCTAGGTCTTAAGAATTTTCTAGAAACTTAAGAGACTGGATGCTATCTGTAATTTGAGCGACACTCACACAGTGTCCAAATTTAGTTGAGTGGATCTGGAATATCTCCATTGTGCCAAACATCTGAACTATGGGAAATCAGCAGTACCTTAAATAGGCAGTTCCTCAAATAACCAGGCTTTATTTTAAATCCTGACCAACTCTTACATTTAAAAAACCCTAAAGGTGGTTTGTTTGTTTGTTCTGGTATATACATTTATAACATTACTAAGAGGAAATACAGGAAAATAAGAAAAAAGGAAAACAAATTTATAAGTTTATAACATTAAATTAAAAATGTTGAAGTGTCATTAGATTATTGCTGCATACTATGATTTGGGTTAGGTTCTTGTGCTAATTTGAGATTTCAAAAGCGTTAAGATTGTATTAATGACACTTCCGGTGGATTAGCGCTGGCGATGGAGGCTCCTTTGTATCCGTCCTCCTGAGAAAGCGTTAGAACCGCAGAGAACAGCAGGCATCAGCTGTTCCGCGGCTCAAAACCTCCTTCCCGGGCAAAGGGAGGGAGGGGAGTATCACCTGAATAGAGGTAGAGCCTCTGAGACCCCCAAGGAAGTTTTCTTTTGGGGGTGAAAAGAGTGCTCCCAAAGAGTTCAGGTTGTCTCCGCTTCTCAGCTGTCTTTGTCCCTTGGGGACAAAGCAAGACGCTGCTCCCACCTCCGCGCTTAAAGAAATCGGGTGAGTTATTTTAAAAGCAGACAGAGCTGGATAAAGGATTTTATTATTTTTTTTATCTTATTTGGACTTTAAGCTTAAAGATTGATTTTTACTTCCCTTTTTTTCTTTTTTCTTTTATCGAGAGAAAAAGTAAAATGGCGATTGGAAAGTTTGTTTGTTTTTTTTTTTGAAGGGAGCGGAACAGAACGTCTTTAAAGGTTTTTTCAAGCTGGATTTGTGTTTTAGGAAGATTATTTTCCCTTTCTGTTAAACTCTTTTTTGTTATTTTTTTAAGGGATTTTTTTTGTATTTTTTCTATCTTTCTTTTTAAGAAGGAGGAAAGAAGAAACAAAACTTTTCTTTTTGAAAATGGTTTCAAGGTGGCAAGTAACATCTACAGTACCCAAGGTGGCTTCTTCTCCTGCGATTTTACCAGCACAACAACCTAAAGCTACACCACCACCTTCCCCTCCTCTGCCATCAGTAACGGTAAAAGATATGCAAGATATAATGGGAAATGCTATATCTCAAATTAGAGGGGAAGTGAAAGAGCTTTTAGTGGAGAATAACATTATTTTGAGGCAAGATATAGTTGTGGCTCTAAAAGGACTTGCTTCTGTGGTTGAGAAGCTGGATTCTCGAGTGGAAGAAGTGGCAGATAAGATGGAGGTTTTGGAGGATAAATTTGAAGGCATGGAAAAAAAGATGGAAATTTCACAAGATGATATTGTTATGTCTCAATATAGAGAAATGGAGTTTGCTTTAAGAATCAGAGGGCTGAGAGAAGACATGCAACAAGATCTGAGAGAGATTGTAGCAAATGATTTTGCTGTGATTCTGGACAGAGAAAAAGAGGCAATATCTAGGGAAATTGAAAAAAATATTTAGAATCAACTCCTGGGTTGCAAAGCAAAGAAATCTGCCAACAGATGTGGTAATTTATTTTGGAAAAAGATCTCTGCGTAATGAAATTATACAAGCTTTTTACAATAAGAGGTTTCAGATTGCTGCACAAGATGTTATAATTCTAAAGGAGATTCCATCTAAAATTTTAAGAAGAAGAAAAGAGTTTGCCTTCTTAGCTGATGAACTTAAAAAAAGGTTGATGCCATTCAGATGGGAGATTCCGATTGGCATAGTGGTGAGTCATGCGGGGACGCGTTACAGACTTAATACTGTTTCTAAAGCAAAGGAGTTTTATATGTCGGTCCTGGGAGCACGCTCATCACCACCTATGATGATGAAAGTTTTGGATGGCAAGGAGGCAGAACAGCAGTCCGAAGAAGTAGTATTGATGGAAGCTGGAAAATTACAGGCTGAGTGATTGCAACAAGCAGGGATGAAAGAGCAAAGAATGACCCGGGCAGCCCACAGACGTAAGGAAAAGGAACATCAGAAGAAAGATGTTAAAGAAGTTTTACAAGAATCTGTTTCTGAGCCTGTAGGAGGAGCAAGACCCAAGAGTTCTGCGGTACATTCTTCAATGGCAAATCTTCAAGCAGTCTTCTCTAGGCTTTTGGTCAAGGGAGATGGTAAAGCTCCTGACATGGAATGCTAATGGCCTCAATTCCCCTCAAAAGAGAAAGAAAATATTTCACTATTTAAAGCAATATAACAATGATATTATTTGTTTGCAGGAAACACATATTATTTCTAAGGATCAAAATTTTTTAGTTAATACCCGATTGGGATCTCATTTTGCATCTTTTGCTTTTGGGAAAAAAGGGGGTGTAGTTATTTATGTTAAGCAAAATTTATCAGCTTGTTTAGTAGATTCTGATCCTCAAGGGAGATATGTTATGATTGAAGTGGGACTGTATGGCAAGAAAGTACTTATAGTAGGTTTGTATGCACCAAACCAACAACAGGAACAATTTTACAGACTGTTACATCAAAAATTAACTTTACTGGACTATAGATCTGTTATATTAATGGGAGACTGGAATGGTGTTTTAGATACACAAAGAGATAAAAAAGGATCTTCTACTTCTTTCAAACAGACTAAATTACCTAAGGCTTTTTTTGATTTGAAAGAGGACTGGGAGTTGCGAGACTATTGGCGTGAACACAATTTGGAGGAGAGAGACTTCACCTTCTTCTCGGACAGACATCAATCTTTTTCAAGAATTGATTTTTTTTTATTACAACGGACTTATATTTTAGGGTAAAGAATGCTAAGATTTTTCCTAGAACACTGACGGATCATAGTCCAATCTGGATGGAATTGGTTAATGAAAAAGAGGAGAGGAGATCCTGGAGGATGAATGAAAATTTATTTAGACAAAAAAAGAATGTTCAGAAATTAAAGGAGCAATTAAAGGAATATTTTGCTTTAAATATGTATAAGGGAACTTCAATGTTAATGGTTTGGGATGCAGGTAAAGCTTACATGCGGGGGGTCTTGATACAAATGAACAAGGTTTATAGACAGAAGCAGGTGCAGAAACATAAGGAGTTGGAAGATGAGATTAAATTAAAAGAAAAAGCTTTAATTTTGAATCCTACGGATGAGAAGATTAAAGAATCTATAAAATTGTTTAAATCACAATTTAACATGTTGATGGCTGATCAAACTGCAACCAACTTATTGTACATGAAACATAATACATTTTGCAATGTTAATAAACCAGGGAGATGGTGGGCTTATCAATTGCGAAAGAAGCAGAGGTTGAGAACTATAGATAAAATAAATTATAATGGTAAATTGGTATATCAGAAGGAGCTGATTAAGAAATCTTTTTTAGATTACTATAAAAAATTATATATGGGAACGAAAGTACAGGCTTCAGATATAGATAAATACATATAAGATGCTCACTTCCCTAAATTAACAGAAGATCAGAAACAAGAAATTAATGGTTTGATTACCATCGAGGAAATTGATATAGTAATTAAAGAATTAAAATTAGGTAAAGCACCGGGTACTGATGGATTGACATCTATTTATTATAAAACCTTGGTAGAAGAGTTGAAACAACCTTTAAGGGAACTTTTTAACAATATATTACAGGGTTCAGAGACCCCCTTGTCAC